GTCCCTCTTTTTCGCCCGTGTCTATATATCGCATTCATATCTACTCCCTTTCTCGAGCTGAGTAATACTTGCAGCTGCATCTCGCACTCAGAGACACGTCGCAAAAATTGTGCTTGACCGTCAGGGTCTGCTGGAAGGTCAAAACGATAGTTCCAAGGAGGGTGTGTTTTAGGTTTTGCCCAGTCAGATTCAACTCCCCTAATGAATTGGATTACTTGTTTGATTTCCCTCTCCGTATGTTGAACGCCAGAAGGTCGAAGGACAAACTAGTCCAGCCATTTCAAGATCTCCTCAGGCTTTAGGAAATTTTGGAGGAAGGCATATTTATCGCACTCTTCTAAAGTGCACAACTTCTCGTGATCCTTTAGATCGCTAGGGTCATCAAAGTCCTGAATGCGCAGCATCTCACATTTGTACCTTAGCTTCAATTTTTGAAAGCTACTTTCTGTCATAGAAAGCATATCCAGATTCCTATAGGACTACACGACCATGCGACTGGTAGATGCCAGCCACCAGTCCTCAGATAATTTCGGGAGCAATTGTGCCTGTATTGCACAGAAATATGGCTATTCGTCTCTCAATGGCTGTGTCTGCGTCGCAATGGCAATATGACCATATTTCCAGACATTGTAAGCTAGAGGAACGTGAGTTAGCTGTTGTGTAGACCCTTCGCTATGACGCTTCACCGCGGTTCGTTCCTGGCTGGAAATCGCGATTTGTGAAGTAGGTAACAAGCTTTCAGCGACATCAAGAGAAGAGAATGTGAGCAGTAGAAGTCTCCCTTGAGCCCATTGATGGAACAAAGTACTCTCCCTGCTGTATTGGTTGACGGTAAGGAAGAACCTCCCGGTATCGATGGTGTTAGTACATATCATCTCGTAGCATAAATATTTGATCTTTGGCGGGAAATCCAGAAATCGCAAGTAGGCACTTGCCTTATTGCCTGTTTGTGTGCAGAAACGCTTCGATCTTCTCCGGCCATGGTAAAATTCCTCGTTGCTGTACCGTTTCATCTTCGTGGTGATATGTCGATGGGAATGACCGTGTAAGCAGAGCTAACACCGATTGTGGGGTCGGACGTAGAGATATCCTCGAGAGCGTAGTCAAAGAAAAGGTGAGATGAAAAAAAAACGCTAGGGTGTAAGGTGTTCGAGAGGAAAGAACAGTTCTTTTCCTACTGGCAACTGACATAAATTTCCAGATATTTTGCACTAGGCCGAAGTCACGTGGACAGAGCCCGCTTGATACTCTGGATTGCAGATTCTGTCTACAATCTTTTGAAGGGGGACATTGGGACTGTGGATATGAGGCTCAGATGGACTTTTTGAAATAGTGGGTTTTCAATTTGAAGGACAATGTGGCGATTAGGGGCTCAAATTCAACAATGATAATCTTGGTGTTATGGTCATGTGAAGGGGCTAATATTGGAGTGACCGTAACGACTTTTGCGAGAATAAAGTAAGGGATTACGATGCGAGGTGCATATCTAAAGTGGATAGTACCCCACTTCAGATAGTATTAAGGCTGGGATGCCCACATATTCGATTCTCAGGCCTCAAGTGCTAAGGCAATTATTTATGCTAATATTGAATGAGGAAATATCACTTCTAAGCTCGTTATGGAGGTTTCGCTCGTTCGCACCTTAAGATAAGATACCTTCTCGCCCATCTTGTCCAGCGCTCTCACCACGGCGACCATCATAACTACACACTATGGCCTCTAACGTTCGGGAGGGAAAATGGTCCTCTGGCCTTTTCGAGTGTTGTTCGTCAAGGGGGTTAGGAACTAGTAAGCACGAATTGCTTATCTTCATAACCCGTATCTAAATCTCGAAATAGGCTATTTGGCCTTATGTTGCCCATACTTCCTATTTACTAGGATACACATTCGTGAGAGCGACGACACATGGGTTGATAGGATTTGCATGGTATAAAATTTCCAATTATCTTCAATATACACTAATCTAACACCGAATTGATATTGCGACTAGTTCTCTACTTACAGCCTTTCGATGACCTTCAGCGGTAACCGTCTCCTCCAGTGCATATATAGGGGCAAGATACGTTCTAAGTACGGAATCGAAGGAAGCTGGTTCTCCGACCTGTGTACATCCTGCTGCTGTTATTGTTGTGCATTGGTCCAAGAGGAAAAGGAGGTGATTACGAGATCTTCTGGAACTAATCCTTTGACAAATACGCCTTATTCTTCTCCTAGCAGCATGACCGTCCGTTGAAGGCAGTTGTCAAAAGGCCGATGATAATTAAGAAGGTAGAACATATCATGCTCAAATTAGATTTAAGTCACTTCTTCCTTTTCTTTTCTTTAAAGAGGGAGGCTTTATGTCGCTAAATACTAGGCCTGAAAATACCTCTACCACGAATAAGCCATTGAAATTGCGTTGCCTGTATATTTAACGCTTCCCTTAGATTCCCCCGCTTTCTTCTAACTTTGCACGACTATTATTTCTGTTGTCAGAGAGCTTTGGGGTGGGATCGTTAGACGAAGAGTCAGAGGGTTGAACACGTATCTTGATTCTTGTATAAAGCTGTCATTGAGACATCGACTTCTCGCACTGTTGAGGGCCTCTCTAGCAGTGTAAGAATAGAGGTCCTATTTATCTCTTTCTGTGTATACCTTGTGGGGGCCGCCTTGGCACTTGGGGGCCGTTGGCCCCATGGGGGCCAAGCGCCTGATGGGGGCCATTCGCCCCATGGGGTGTTGTCGGCCGGGAAGCGCATTGTAACAGTCATTGTAACAGCCCTGC